GACAGGTACAATATCTAAGAATTAATTAAAATGAAACATCTTTACTTATAAGGGCTAAATATTAAAATTTATGAAATGATATGAAAAGAAGGTAATTAAATCTAAAATGTATAAATGTATATAATAAGATCATAAAATTAAAGTGTACCCTTTTAATTTCTTTCATTAACTCTTGATGTTTTTTCATTCATATATAGTTTTTTTTTTCTCATTTATGATACTCCAATTATTTAAAGGAGTGAAATGCAATTTAGATAATGCACATACTATAACCAAAAAATAATATAACGCAGATCTGGCATCACTTAAATTGCATGCAATTGTGACAAATAATAGTGTAAGTTACACTTTCCATTCCAAAACTAATGCACCAAGTGTGCTTGGTTAACCAACTAAGTTGGTTAGGGTATATCATAAATGGACAATCCTAATTAACCTAACCTTTTTTCTTTCATTTCTAGGGTTCGAAATAATCCTTATTATTATTATTAATGAGTATAAAATATTGGTCATATAATACTAAGCTAGAAGGGGATCAAATTGGTGAAACATAACATAATGTTATAACCAACCAGGTGACCTTATTAACTTTCTTGTCGTTTTCCTTCTGACACAGTATGCCAGTAATAATACGATAAAGAGGAGGGAAAAAGTTGGTTACGTCTACAAATAATTATGATTTTTATTGCAATTATATAATTCGATATTATACGTTCTAAATGTTGTAAAATATAAGAAAATGAACATTTCATAAGGTTGGTCGTTGTTCTCATGCATTATATTGGACGCTCCATTACAAGATTTATATTGAAATATTTTTTAGCTTTTTCAATAAATAAAACAACCATATAAACGAATATAATAAATTATAAGCGATACCCCCCATCAAGTAGGGGATAATCCTATCCTTCAACTCAATCCAAAAGTACTTTTACCATGTCTCTAAAAAAAAAAAAAACCTCTTATCAGTGCCTAATATCATATAACTAAAGTATCATATCAAGATGAATTATGGTCAGCCTACATGATATATTTTTAAAATTTTCGTTATTGCATCTAACTTCCATTATATTTGTCTATTTACATTTTTAGAAAATTTAATATATATATATATATATATATATATATATGTGTGTGTGTGTGTGTGTGTGTGTGTGTGTGTGTGTGTGTGTGTGTGTGTGTGTGTGT